CTAGCAGTTTTATGGCTAATGCAAGTTTTTCAAATCTTTCTGTTTTGCATTCTATTTCTGATTATCACAATAAACTTCTCTAAAAGCCTCAACAATATCCAGGCCATTGCTTAAATGATATGATGGCTAGAAATTTCTTCTACATTAAAAAGTCCATCACCTTTAAATTGAACCTCATTGAGTCTCAGAACATGGTCAAACTTTAGACAATTTCTTATCCAGAACATAACAGGAATGTCCTCCTTTTCTTCTGAAACCTCATGAACACTGCTTTTCTGTCAATACTCCTCCCAGCATTCTGGTATTCTGAGCCCCCACCATGAAGGTCCACTTACAACAATGTAAAGCTTTTCCAGATTGCATCTCTAAACGTTCCGAAATTCCTCCCACAAATTCCAAAAGGCTCCAAAATCTTCTTAACCACATGGTCAGTTTAGTCACAGCAACCACCCCAGGCCCTGTACCTGGGGTACAGTGTTTTAGTCAGCTTTTTCTTCACTGTGACCAAAAAACCTTACAAGAACAATTTGAGGAGGACAAGTTTATTTGGGGGCTCACAGTTTCAGAGGTCTCAGTCCATAGATTTCTATTCCTCAGGGCTTGAAACAAGGCAGAACATCATGGCAGAAGTATGTGGTGGAGGAAAGAAGCTGGGGGCATGGCATCAGGAAGGGTGGAGGGTGGGTAATGCTAGCTCCAGAGCTCTTCACCATGGACAAAATATGTACCCCACAGGCATGCCTCCAATGATACACCTCCTCTAGCCATACCCTACCTGCCTACTGTTATCACCCAGTCAATCAATCCCTACCAGTGGATCAATGCCCTGATTAGGTTAAGGGTCTCCTAACCCAATCATTTCACTTGTAAACCCTCTTGCATTTTCTCACACATGAGCTTTTGGGGGAACACTACATATTTAAACCAAAATAGGACCCTAAATCACAGGAGGAATAGCAGTGATATGCGATCACACTATGCAAAAGAAATGAAATAGCCACCCCTAAATTCCAAGTAAATGAATACTATTTATTTTTATTATTTTTGTGATATTTTTGTGTAAACACTCCATAGTCAACAAACAGTTCAACGGAAATTGAGATGATCAAAAGGCAGTTGCATGCATTTTACTAATTTGCAAGGCAGCGATCACTGTGGCTGACACACACTTAAAGTATGTTGCAAGTGTCTGCCTTGCACAG